CTCTAGATATGAGGAGCACTAAAATTAAGAAATCTCCAGTCTTGGATTATATTTTTCTGCTGTACCTATGGAAACGAGATGCTGTTCATATAACATGAGCTAGGCAAAGGTAGAAGTGAGAAAAATATAAAACTATAGATCCAAGATGGGAAGCATTGGAGTTTTACTGTTATTTTATTTTCATTTACTGTTCCTGTGCACTGCACAGTGTGATCTGGTCAAGGCGCAGAGTTATTTGTCCGTGTAGTTTTTTATGTTCTTCTGTGTTGGCAACTGAATTTCCCCCGGAGGGTTAATAAAGTGAACTGTACGATATTAAAGAATGAAATTATGAACAAGCCTTAGGTGATTATATCATTTATGTCTTCTAGGCAATGCAGGGAAGCAATAAAACAGGCACATGCACAAAGAATATTACGATATACAGTTAAAGGTGTAAAATATAGAGTTGTATTAAAATTCTACAATGTAATAGTAAGATCTTGTTTAGTACTTGTGCAGTTTTGGTGATAATACAATAAAAAAATATCTACATCTATAAAAAGATATATGAATATGCTGAAGAGCACTCATAAAACTATCTTCATACTAACAAAGCAGCTCAAGGTGGATTTTAAGCAAAAGGACTTATGAATCCAGAAGAATGTAAAAAAAAAAAAGTGACTGGTATTTTCACAAGGTTCTGCTTCTCTGGTGAGCTCAATGTTTATAGTCATTTCCATTAAAGATACCAAATAAATCTTCACAAATTATGCCAAAAGTTTTTTTCCACTAAAAAATTATTTCAATCGGTGTAAAGTGTTATACTTTTCTCAAATAACTATGGTTATTGTAAGATATAAGGCAATTTTACAATAGCAGGACAGTTTAGCCATTAAATTTAGTTATAATTGTGGTAGAAGTGAAAGTCCTACCTCCTGGGACCTCAACAAGTGTGATTTTAAGGAGGAGGACTCAAACCGGTTTGTGTTTGAAGCAGAGATAGCTGCCCTGCTGGACTCCTAACATTAGGACTGCATGTTCCTGGTCTGAACAAGC